TATTGGATTCTTTATAAAGCAAGATCAGCATAAAAATTTTCGGCAAGTGGCGCAGCACGTGATGTCTTTAGATGATTTGCACCATATATAAAATTTTCCAAATTCGAAACATGTAATTTTGGGTGATAATAAACCTTCAATATAAATGTTTTTGTAAAATTTAAAATTAATGAATTGTAAATTTGACTTTATTAATTTATTGTGTAATAGTAAAGAATCATAACAAAAAATCAATCCATTTATTCATTTACATTGTTTCAATAGCAGAGGATCAAATCCTATTACAAATAACATACTTTTTCAAAATTTGCATTTTAAAACAATTTAGTTGATATTCCTTTATATAAAATATAATTAATGAATGTAATAAAAATCACCATCAATCCTTTTCCTTTATTATAAGTAAATAATAAATAATCTTATTAGTAATAATTAATGAATAGTAACTTCCAATTAATGAAATTTTTATTCACCTTATTAATATCAACATTTAAGAAAAACTGTTAAAATCGAGATCATTTAATGAACTATTATAACTTGTATACCTTTTCAAGCTTTTTGATTTAGCAATCTCATCATCTAAAATTCTACTTGTGTGATATGCATCTGGATGTGATTTGTGTACTTGTTGTAAAACACTGCTACCACCACCACTGCTGCTGCCATCATTATTAAAATCAATTTCACACTCATCACCTGTAAAATATTTTTTATATTTATTTTTACTAAATTCATAAAGCTCTATACTAGTTGGTCTTTTTAATGGATCCACATCCCAACATTTTTTCATAATTTGTGCAAAATCATCAGGCATTCCAGATAATATTGGTGGTCTTAAACCTTTACATATATCAAGAATTAAATGATGATTGTGAGCTCTATCATCAAATGGTAGATGACCTGCAAATACTTCCCACATTAACATCCCAATACTATAAACATCAGATTCTTTTGTATCCTTTTTTCCTCTAAATAGCTCAGGTGCAATATATGACACAATTCCATAGATTTTATTTGATGATTTTTCATTAATTGGTCCACATAATCCTAAATCTGTAATATAACAACCATCTCCATGCAATAATATATTATCACTATGTAAATCACAATGGATTAAATCTATTATGTGTATATAATATAATGCAGCAAATAAATATGCAATGATTAAAATTCTTCTTTTCAATGTTAAGTTTAAATGATTTTTTTGCAAATAATCTCTTAAATTTCCTTTTGGATAATAATTTGAAATTATTGCATAATTTCCATTATCTGGGAATTTAGTTATACCATAGCAATTAACAATCAAGTGTGATTTAATTTTACAATAATTTATTGCCTGAAAATAAATATAAGATCAATTAGTATAACATAGCATTGTTTGTTTTTGTTTTGAATGACAATTACCAACCTCATCAAAAAAGCCTTTTTTTGGATTACTTGAATTGTTTAAACTTTTTAATACTATTTTTTGCTTTCCTAATAACTAAATACTTTTTTATTTTCATCATAATCAATAAGCATTCCTCTTGTCCATAATGCAGTATAAATTGAACTAAATCCACCTTCTGTTAATTTGGTTACCTTTTCAAATTGTTCAAAAGGTATCCATTCTAAAATATTGTGTGGTAAAGATGATTTCATTTGAGATTGTTGAATAAAATCATCAATTATGTTATTTCCAGATGTCCAAGTAGTGAAAAGATTCTGTAATTGTAAACTGATGCAACCTTCACAGAATCTATCAGAGTACCTTGTCAATTTACAATTGCTACATTCTTTTGGTTTTCCTGTTTTATCTTTTGCATTATCTAATTCAGCCCAATAAATAAATTTTTCTTTACAATATTTCTTTTCATTTTCAGAAATCTCCTCATTTTTTTCAACTAATGAAAAAAAATAATCTTTTCTACTTTCTATATCAGAACTAACAAAAGCATTACTATACATTTCACAATAAATTTTAAATACAAATTCCTCTCTTTCTGGTGATAACAATTTATTATTACGATATAACATTATATAAAAATAAATGTTTTGTAAAATTTAAAATATCTATATATTGAATAGTGTGGAGAAAGCTAATAATAATTCCATTTATTATTATTTATATATAGATCGGGGAACCTTGAAATTAATTGGGAGCGATCTACAATAAGTTGTAAATGCTACACGACAAACATAACGAACCAATAAATTAATACTAATTTTAAAAAGAAGGTCTAGATTATTTAAGGAATATTAAATGAAACCTAATGAAAGAATTAAGCGAGGTATTGTTGTTAGGGGGTGGCTCTACAGATCAGAGCGAAACCTAATAGGGAATCAGTGAAGTATTGAGAGCTAGAGAGTGGCTATATGGATTACAATGAAAGGTAATTTAGAACGTATATATACTTTTTACCCTCAATTATTATTAGACTCTGACACGATTTATATTATCTATTTCCCTTGATGAAATGGCGTGTGTAACAAACAATTTTCTCGTAATATTAATATTATTATTGACTTACTCTTTCTGGCCACATTTTTAACCTTTTATTAATGTAATTTTTTAACAATTGAAAAGTTTTCTCTATCGGAATTAATTGATAAAGAATTAATAAATTATTATTTATATAAATAAAAAAAAATTTTTTTAACATCAAAAAAAATTCATCATCAAACAAACCTTAGTGATTGATTTATCGTGATAGGATTTTAGCACTATTTAAAACTTCAAAATTTAAACTTGCAAAAGCCTGTACCTAAACCTGTCTAACATATCATGTAAAAGTCATTATACATGCCAATTAGTGTTGGTTTCCATAACTAGAGAGTTTCGCAACAGTGCGAAAGTCAAAAGGTTTCGCCATAAATCGAAACTAGTTTTGATTTTTAGTTTTGACATATAATTCTACATGCCAATATTGTTTAGTATATGTGTGTTACAAGCTTAGATACTAAAGACAGCTCAAGCATATTTTTATTTTATTGTTAATTTTTATTATCACGTGTAGTTAATTTCAAAGTCAAAAATCGAAAAAAAATCAAAACAACCCTATACCAATATTGACATGCTTCAAACTCAGGCACTAAAGACAATTCAAAAGCATTTTGATTTTTTTCATTTTATGAAATACATAGCAATAGGCAACCCGTTAATCCAAAAAACTGTTAAAATGAATAATTTTTAAAACACCAAAGCCAAACACATGTAAATAACCACGTTATTATGAATTTCACTAATAAAAATTTATAAACCGTAAACTGAAGCAATTTTTTAAATTTTTGAAGCCATTTATATGTAAATTTGCTCCGTTAATTGGAATTTTTATAAACCGAAGTGAAATAAAAATTGGGCCAATAATAAGTGTACAAATCCATATGTACAAAAATTACCAGGGTAGATTTTCCTCTAGTGCAAACAAGAGGAAAAAAAACATCTGCTGAAAAAGAAGTTGGGGCAGTGTTGAAAATTCAATCGGGGGTGTCACGTTGCACAAATTATGTGCACGTCTATTTTTTTAATTAAAAAGAATTA